ATATATATATATATATATAGAGTTTCCGAAAAAAAATGCTTATTATTGAGCGAGATAGCAAGTGCTTTCATCATTCTTCTATCCAAATTGCTCTTTGCATGAGCTAAGAAGAAGAAATTGTTTTGTAAAATCGTTCTGCAAATACTATTACCTTAAGAAAGATTAATATAGAGAAATATATGCTTGCTTATGCAATAATATATAACTATGTAAAAGCATTGAATAGTATCTAATCTCATTAGAATAATATCTAATGATACTGATCGGGATGCATGTAGCATTGTTCAATTAATTAATATACATGTAATTAATCTTCGAGAGCGATTGTATTATAGTTGATATTTTTGATATCCGATTTAGAGTCAAGATGGACACAGTATTGACAGTCATACCGGCACGAGTGGTAATCCAGCGGCTGATTACAGCGAAGGTGCATCTCACGTATTAGCTGTCATTCATCAGATTTTGGGTCATCACAGAGCATTAGAAGCGCGCTGGCACGCTCGCAAAGTCAAGTTGCATCAACGGCTTGCATTAAAGTATGAAAATATTGGATGTTTGAATAAGTTCATGGATCTTCATCAAGTAATGCTTCCAAATTGTTCATCTTTCATTTTTTTGGCACTTTCACGTTCTTTATCTTTTATCGAAATCATCATTTATAAAGCATTGAAACCACTCTTTCGGATGGAGCATACACCTCCCCATACACTTCTACAAGCAAACGATAACTTTCAATTGTACTTTTCTTAATAATAAACAATGCAATAAAATTTTCCGCAAATGCTGTTTTGTTGGTACAAAAGTCGACGTTTTTTCAATGCAATGACAAAAATGTTTACACGTCCATCAAATGTCATATACTAAATATGTGAAAGCTTGTGTATAGTACTCTCAAATACAATAGTTGTCACTGGAATTATATGCATGTAGTACTTGTAACGATGTCCCTTAGAGAAAACGGCGGAAACTTATTTAAACACTCAATTAATAAAATAAGCTTACTTATCGTTACATTGATGGTAACGCATATAATTGTGATTTTCAGATTATTTCAAGAAGATGTAAAACAAGTTCTTGACTGGCTGACTAATCATGGCGAAGTCTTTATTAGAAAAAATACAGGCGTAGGTCGTAATTTGCAGAAAGCACGCGTCTATCAAAAAAGCCACGAACATTTTGAAAATGTTGCTCAGGTGACTGTTTAGTATATGTATTTTACCATATAATATATAACTTATGATTTTACGTATAATTCTTAGGTTTCCATGAACATACTTAACATTTTTTTCATTTGCAGAATACTTACACAAATGCGACTAAGCTTTTAACTGCTGCCGAAGAACTTGCTCACACAGGGGAATGTGCACCTGATGAAATATATGCAGTGGCACAAGAATTGGAGGCCCACGTTAGTAGCTTCGCAGCAAGGGTCGAGCAACGGCGTCGCAGATTAGATCTAGCAGTAGTATTTTATACTCATGAAAAGGAGGTATTTTTACATGGATTGATTATATCTAACAAAGGAAATACCAGGATGTATTGTCTCCGTTTTTGCTGAATTACATACACACATCTATATACATATATTAAGACAATATAAATTACAACGTCGTTTCTATAACCTTTATATGTATAGTTTCAAGAAATTTTCGATTTATTATAATGTCAACTAGAGACCCCTCAAGGATTCCCCCGTATAGGGGGTCCCTTGAGGGGTCTCTAGTTGACATTATAATAAATGGAAAATTCACACACTAATGCTGTTTATGATGGATAGTGTATTTTCAGTTTGTTAAAAAATGCCAAATGTTTAAAACAAATATATAGGCGTTTATAAAAAGATTTAAAAAAGCTACATTTGCTATTTAGCGGTTTGAGTTACGTTGTCAAACAGTAGAGGTTACAAGGACATTTAATTATGAATAAAACTTGAAAATAATTGTAAAAGTAAATACAATAATAATAATTATGATAATAATTTTAAATGTAATATTTTTTTTATTTATCAGAATTAGTTTAAAAATATTACATGTTATTATATTTTATAATTTTGTTTTGCAGTACACACACATTACGCTTATTATAATTTTAGGAACGTTCAATAAAATTTTCCAACATTTGAAAGTGCAGCCTGATGCGCTAATATAAATGCTAACTTCTGCCAAACGCAGTCGTAATCAATTAACAGGCTTGAAAAGTTTTGTCTACCGACACATGAAATATCAGGCACTATAATGCTGCGTATCTCGGCATACTGTCTTTATTTGAATCTTACTTTTACAATTTTTTTTTCATCTGCATTGCAGCGTATTGTGTATTTTTTAATATTTGGCCTGAAAAATTAATGTTTAAAATTTATGTAATTTTAAGATGTGTTATGCAATTTTTATTTTATAATAAAACAAATAGAAAAAAAAGAAAAGAGAAAGGCAATAAAAAAAATCTTTTTTTTTTATTATATGTTTGCAATTGATAAGATTTTTATTTTTATTGCATAAAATTAATTATTTGTTTTTGGAATTATTATTTTCGAACGAGCTCTTGCCATCAGAGCATTTGTTAAGTTGTTTTTCAGTTTATCATTTTTCTGCAAGTTCGCAGATTACAAGCTTGAAATATTTTGTTTCACACTGGTATTCTTGCATTTTTTTTATTTGCACATTGTATTACATACTTCGAACCTTACCATAGTTCTCGCTCAACACGAATAACAAAATCGTTTGAAATTCTCACAAAGAAAACACAAGTTTTAGCGTGTGCTCGATATAAAATCAACCAATGCTGTAGATATTTTTATTAAGAAAGGATTGTCTGCGCAGTCGAAATTCTTTGCAAGAATAAAAATCGTGGCGAAAGTAACAGATAATTTGTGTTTATTGTATAACAAATAAATTCAATTTAATAAATTGCATAATACAACTTAAAATTACATAAATTTTAAACTGTAAGCGTTAATTTTTCGTCAAATATAAAAAAATACACAAAGACATAATAATATGTTGCAATGTAGATGGAAGAAAAATTTGTAAAAGTAAAATTGGAAACTGAAATACGCAGCATTGTATTCCTACGCTTTACTCATTACACCGCACCGCTTCTCTCATAAACACGTAAATCTTTAAACGCGTTTTTCTCGCAAGTATTTGAGAAACGCATTCTATAATTTTAACACGAATTGCTAAGAGGAGCTAAACTTATATATTATATGTGTGTGAGTGCGTGCGTATAATTCGACCAAATCGGAAACAATACATCCTGGTACTCTTCTCATAAAATTGTTTACAAGTACAAATAGTAATTTAAAATGTGCAGATATATATGTACTAACCGTATATGCATGCTTGCCATCTTGAATTTGATTTTGTTTTACAGCTGACCGGTTGGGTAGACGAGTTACGTCAGGAATTGCAACAGGATGAGGTTGCGGAAAATTTAGAGACAGCGGAAAGATTGTTGGAACAATGCGCGCAGCATAGATCGTCCTGTCTTGAGGCGTGTGCTTCGACAATAGCCCAGGGTGAAGCTCTGCTGCAAGAACTACGCGAGGCAACCGACGCGCCCGACACAACCGGCTCGATATCAGCGGTGGAGTCAGCTTTGGACAGATTAGCAAGTTTGAGACAAGAATTAGAAGACTTGTGGGCGACGAAGAAGCTGAGACTGGAACTGTGCCTACGATTACGCGTGTTCGAGCGCGACGCACTAGAGACTAGCGGTCAGCTGGAGATGTGGGCGCAGGAGCTGCAAGGCCCACCGCGAGAAGGTTCTCCAGAACAGTTGCTACGCGTACATAACGATGGAGTCGCCCATATGCAAAATACCGTTTTCCAAATTCTGCACCGTGGGCAAGAATTGGCGCAAGTTTTAGAGGAAGCAGGGTTGTGTATTATGGCGGACGGTCAGCATAGTGCGGCGGCGCGGGTGCAGGTGCTTCTCGAGTTTTTGAACGAGAGAGAATTGGATGCAGAGGACCTCGCGGAAATGCGAAGAGTACGGCTAGAGCAAGCCTCTCAATTATTGCAACTGCAGACAGATGCTTCTCATGTGATCAAGTGGATACGAAACGGCGAGTCGATATTACTGGCTTCGCTGAGGATACCAGACGATTTCGAAGATGCCGATCAATTAGGAAAGGAACACTATCATTTTCAACTTGCGATAACGAATACTCATGCGTCTGCCGTGCAAGTGAAGCATAAAGCGGATTCGTTGATAAGCGGGAATCATTACGATCCTAAAAGTATCAGGGAGGTCGCGGAGGATGTTACCAAACGATGGCAGCAACTAGTGACCTGCGCGGAAGAACGACATAAATTAATTACTGCCAGTTTAAACTTTTATAAAACAGTAGATTCGGTACGTTCGGTTCTCGACAGTTTAGAACTGCAATATAACGTGGATGACGATTGGTGTGCCGATGGAGAAAAAGCCGCGGGAATACCGGCGAATATCACGAGACACCAGGAGCAGAAGGAAGCCTTTCTAAAGGCGTGCACGTTGGTACGGCGAACCGGGGAAACTTTCTTAAAATATATCAATCGTAGTCTACAATTTTACAGCTATCACGCTAATAGCGCCGGTTCCGCAAACAAAGTGAAAAATATTTTGGAGGAGCTAGTTAGTAAGGAAAATAAAGTGCTCGAATATTGGACGCAACGAAAGAAACGCTTAGATCAATGTCACCAGTATGTTCTGTTTGAACGTAGTGCAAAACAGGCTCTCGAGTGGATAAAAGAAACTGGGGAATTGTATTTAGCGACGCATACCAACGTCGGTAAGAATCGCATCGAAAACGAACAATTGTTGCAAGAGCATATCGAGTTTAAGGGTGCAGCGAAGGAAACGAGAGAGAGAGTGAAATTGTTGATTCAACTCGCTGACAATTTAGTCGAGAGAGGTCATGCTCATGCCGCGGCGATCAAACAAGCCGTTGCCGAAGTCGATCAACGATACAAAGACTTTAGTACGCGAATGGATTGCTACAAGACACAAATCGAAGGCGATCTAGGTATTCAGTCTGATGAGGTGCACAGAGATCTGTCGATCGATCGGAATTCGGATCCATTGCTGGAAGAAAAGATCAAGGGTAAAGATCTGAAAGAATTGAACGAGGAGAAGAGAAGATCTGCACGAAGGAAAGAATTTATTATGGCTGAACTGTTGCAAACCGAACGTACGTACGTGAAAGATTTGGAAACTTGTATCCGTTGTTTCTTGGATGAGACGCGATGCGGAAAGGGAAACGTTCCGATGGGTTTACAAAGTCGGGAATCGATCATTTTTAGCAATATAGAGGAGATACATCAGTTTCACAGCAATGTCTTTTTACGCGAGCTAGAAAAGTACGAAACCATGCCAGAGGATGTGGGACATTGTTTTGTAGTGTGGGTGAGTTTATTTTATCACATTGATAATTAATTAGGAGGACAACATACATACGTACATACATATATACATACATATATTCGTATCTCGTATTCCAGGCACCTAAATTCGACATGTACGTTACTTACTGTAAGAATAAACCCGAGAGCAATCAACTATTAATAACGCACAGTGGAACATGGTTTGAGGAATTGCAGAGAAAGCATAGAGTGGAACATCCTATCGCTGCATATCTAATCAAACCTGTACAAAGAATTACCAAGTATCAGCTGTTACTCAAGGACTTGCAGGTATTCGCATACTTGTGTGTTATGTATATATCTACATATCTCAAACTTGTAGTGTACTTTATTCTCTTGTTTTTTTTTTCTTTTTCAGGCTTGTTGCCAAGAAGGACAGGGCGAAATAAAAGAGGGATTAGAAGTGATGTTAAATGTGCCTAAAAAAGCTAACGATGCCTTACACTTAAGTCTACTGGAAGGTTGCGACGTTAGTATAGATGCGCTCGGTGACGTTGTATTGCAAGATTCATTCACAGTGTGGGACCCAAAACAGTTGATCAGGAAAGGAAGAGATCGTCATATATTTCTTTTCGAATTGTATCTTCTCTTTACAAAGGAAGTGAAAGATTCTGCAGGAAAGGTTGGCATGCAACTTTTTCTTTTTCGTCAAGTAACAAAAGTTTCTTTTACACACATGTGCATATATAATATCACAGTATGAAAATGGTCTGTCTAGGTGAAGTACGTTTATAAAAATCGCCTGTTGACCTCCGAATTGGGCGTGACCGAACATATCGAAGGCGACGAATGCAAATTCGCGGTATGGACAGGACGAGCACCGACCAGCGACACACGCGTGGTATTGCGTGCCAACTCGATGGACGCGAAACAGCTGTGGGTGATGCGGTTACGCGAGGTGATACAGGAGACCTTCTTAGGCAAGAATATGCCCAAGAGCCCCGCTAAAAAGAGCTCTAGTCAACGCTCCAGCAGAGATCTAGAGGAGTGTGCATCCTTGGACGAGAGTGTGGAGAATCTTGACAGAAATTCCTTAGCTTCTTTTGGTTCGACTAACACTACAGATTCTGACAAGGTAAAATATCGTTTTTTTACTACATATATATTTATATATATATATTTTTTTTAAATAAAAATCGTAATTTTTAATTTTTCACGCGACTCGTGACACACTTCAACAGGACTTTTATCATCCCAGCGTTTTTTCTATATATTGTATAAATTTCCAATATATATCATGGGTGTATAGTGATGCATTATTTTTATTTAGAAAATATAAAACTGCTTCGCGAGTTACAACAGATGAAGCTAGAAAATATTCAAATGTTCAAAATAGTGATTACTGCATTGCTCCTGCAGTTATGCTCGGGTCATATTTGTTTCAGTCGAGCTCATCGCTTTTTGATGATGGCGTTTTTACTATCGTATCTACTAATACTCGTATAAAGTTATAGTTTTGACTGTGTCTCAAAAACGTATAAAATCAAAGTATAAAATCTTTAATTACATTAGTCAATAAATAAAATTTTTTTGTTACTTAAAAATATGGTGGTTTTTAATTGTTTTTTATGTCATTTGTAATAAAAATATCTGCTTTTAAAACATATATACACACATGAGAATTCCAAATCAGATTTTCAACTAAAACAACTGAAAAATATAAGTTGTAAGTTTCTTTAAGATTTTTATAAACACATCTACTTTGTGATTTCGTAATGTGTGTGTGTTGTCACGCATAACAAAACTGCATTTACTTATACAAGATCTACATGAAGAATTTGCCATTTCGAGTTTCAAGAAGAAAGTCCTTAGTGAAATATCACAAAAATAACATGTTACGACGCTTTTGAATATTAGATATATAAAGCAGAGAGTCAAAGATAAAGCAGCATAAGAATGTAGGGGTATTACCAAAACTTTATTGACTAATGTTTAAAGCTAATGCAGGCCGATATTCATAGTCGGTTCTTATTTTAAGACCGTCTTAAGACATAACTTAGTCTTAAGTCGCTAATGCGGCTCTTTCATTGGTTCATGATATTTTAATTTTACTGTACTTAAGACAGTTTTAAATATAAGATCTGACTATAAATACCTGTAGATTAATCGAAATGATTCATGAGAACATTTTGCGCGAAGGCTACAGTCTCCTGATCACTTTCCGCCCTTTGTATTTCTGATATGTTTATCTTCAAGATACAGACGGTAAATAAATATTGTTCTTCGTTTTCTTCGGAGCTCATAAAAATTTCTCTCTCTCTCGTTCAGTCTCAGTCTCAGTCTCAGTCTCAGTCTCAGTCTCAGTCTCAGTCTCAGACTCAGACTCAGAACGAGGTCGCCGAAAAGAGTTGGCCTTCCTTAGTCCCTCCCCTGCGATAGAGAATCTAGGCATGGCGACATGAACGCAAGACTGGGAATAGTGCGAAATAGTGGGAATGACTGAGAGGCCACGGTAGCCAGTATACTCGCGCAGGGTTGGGTGGGGCGCAAGTTGGGTTGGGTTAGTTATAATCTCGTCAGTTCGCACCACTCCGCACGGTTGGTTCGGTTCGATTCGGGTCGGGTCGGGTCGGGACACGGGACGCAGATCAGTTTAATCAGTCAGATCAGTACAGGCGCGACTCCCGGATCGGATGGATCCGTTTAGGGATCTACCGGTGATTGCAAGATTTGCGAGACGCTAGGCGAATCGGTAAAGCCCTGACCTTCCTATCGGAGGCCGGAAGGAAGGGAAGAAACAGGGGCGGGGGGAGAAAAAGAAAATACAAAAACGGACGATGGCGGATACAGCGTGGATCGCCGTGCTCTCGAGAATGTGCTCCGTGAACGACAACGCGCAGTTCACCACGTCATTTCTGCCTTCCTGCGCGTCACGATCGCATTCGTGCCTCTGAAGACCGTAATCGCATGCCGCGCCGATCGTAAGGTCAAGTCTTCCTTATCATGACGTCACCGGCCGGGAAACCGGCGACAATCGCCCAGAAGGCGCGCAGGAAGATTTCCCTGCCGTGGTTCCGCCAGGGCTCCGCGGCACCGCCGCACGTAACCCTCTCCAGGCAGCACACCATTGATACACCGAGCTCCTTCCAGGCTCGACTTTTGCGTCGTCAACCATCCCTGGCCCAGGTACTTGGCATCACAATGCCGCAATGTTCGCAAGCTTTTTTTTTTATCGGATCAACTTTTATCTCTTTATACCTTTTTCTTCATTTTTCTTCCGTCACTCTCTCTCTTCGAGAGAAATCTTTGCGATGGAATTTCAATAAACTCCGCGTATTCCTCTTTTCGAGATTACGAAAGAATCGATCGACGTTCCATCAAGAAGATCGCCTGGAAACTCGAGAAAGGGCAAATTTCATCCAACGAGTACTACATATTTTTCTTTCTTTCCTCTTTTTCATCTCGATCGTTTTTACGGCGAAGAAACTTGGCACATGAAAAATTCTGTTTTGTATCGCGAAATGTCACGAAAACGTCAGGCAAATAATTATGCCCGATGAAAGAGGGGGGGGAGAGAGAGAGAGAGAGAGAGAAACGAAGTGTTGAAAATGCGATAAACGTGCACGCTCCATCAATGTAATACACGCACACGCGCGATATTTATAGCAACGTCAAAGTATCGCGGTGTCGTGATATTAGCTATTTTCAAAAAATCCGGAATCCGCGTGCGATTTAAAAGTATCGTCGCGGAAGGACGTACAGAGAGAGAGAGAGAGAGAGAGAGAGAGAGAG